CATAAGTGATACTGTTGGAGCAAATGAACTTGGGAAGACAATGAACATGTGAGAATGTGTGTAATATTTGACAAATAAAAATAATGATTCCCCTAAGTACTGTATTGGTTTTTAAATGATAAATGTATAGATTTCTCTGGTAGAGGACAGAGGAGGAATGAAATGCAGCACTTGGTTGCAAAATGTAAACAATTACGTTTTTAAGAGAGGTCTCTGGGACTCAAAATATTGTCAGACCACAGGCGGGAGTAGAGAACTACTCTCAAAATTAAATTAGATCACAACTGTTCTGAACAGTAGAAAAGGCAGGAGACTAACAGGCTTAAAATAATGAGACCGATCCCTTCTCAGAAAACTAAAATGGTACAAGGAACAACCTAACCTTTAAATGTACTAAATTTGCCAAGCAACATTACACTGCATATAAAGAGGGCAAAATATAAACAGTGGCCACATGTAAATAAATTAGTAAAACTTTCAGGATGTTACTACTTTTCAAACTGACAAAGTTTAATTTGACACCTTCTGTTCTAAACCCTTTGTTTCTATTCAAAATCACGCCTTGAGCTGCTGCTATCAATCACAGCACTCCCCCTATTACTTAAAAAAACTGGCATGGACCCTGAATAAGCTGAAAATGCCATGCAGATGAATTCTGAGATAATATGTTCAAACCTGTTATATACAACACAAATCCTGTCAAGTTATGTATTGTAAACCTACATTTATTGAGAACTAAACGTCTTAAATCCATCTGCCACAAAGGAAATACTGTTATGTACTTTATAGTAACCAAGAACCATCTGCAAATGTCTTGCTCCCGGTAAGCAAGAAAATGATGCAAAAGATGCTAAACCTAAGACCACATGAAATAAATAACATTCTTTTGACTGGTTTTGGTTAGGTATCTACTAAAGAAATATAAGATTGGGGGGGGGGGGGGGGGGAAGGAAAAGGGAAAATGCAGAATGACTGCCAAACCAGTCCTGAAAAAAGCAAAACAAACTCAATGACAACACAATGGCAATTTATTATGGTCCATGAAACACATGACTATATGCTCATTTTAAAGGAAAAATTAGCAGTTCTAAACTCAATATTCTAATGATGTGCTTTACTGACAGAATCTTGTTGTACCACATTTAAATAAAAATCCTGGCACCTTCATGTTTCAGCTACTAATTTCCAACCAAACTCAATCTCTGATTTGCACTCCACTCTTTTTAGAACAGTTAATTCAAGTCAAGTAACTCCTAACACTTTAACGGATAAGGGGTATGCAACGATTTTAATCGAGTCAAGAAAGCAACCTCCTTTCTCGAACGCACTTATTGTACCTATACAGTCTCACACACATAAAAAGAGAGCTCTTACAGGGCCTGATCTGTGACAAAGCTGAGAGTAACACAACCAGTTTTCCAGTGGAAAATAGACTTTAGTATTCTCTGAGAAAAAAAGTCATTTAATACAATATACAGATAGGTATATATTATCATCTGTACATATACATTTTAAACCCAAGAGCTAGAAAAAGAGAAAGAAAATGACAAATAATTCTTGCTGCAACTAAGAAGGAAAAACACATTTTAAAAAACAGAATGGTAATTTGCTTTTCTAAAAAGCAAAACATTTTATAGTCTGTATGTATTCCCCCTCACCCTCATCTTTTATGTGTTATTTGCAGGAGTATTTTGTTCCAATCTCTGGGGCATATAGTATAATAATATATGATATTAAAAGAAATCAATCTAAATAGGGAGGTATTTGATACAAACATTTTAGTGGAAAGCATGAATTACATCTTAGCAAGTAGTAGGAACAAGGATTAAGTACATAATCCATTAAATAGTACTTCTAACACAAAAAATTCAGTATTGTAGACTAAACTACACCAGGCATTTTGAATGAGTACATTTTCAACTCAACAACAACTAACTATAAAGCTAGCAATTTATCATTCAGCAAATAATTTTCTACTTTTAAAAGAATCTGTAAGTGTTACTTATGCTAATGAAGACAGTTTTTAATCTGCCCACAAACACGCTAATAGAGGGCAATTTTTTTTTTTTATTTACAAAGCTGTCGGCACTCAAGGGTAATTTCATATCAATGTTCTATAAGCTGGGGGGGAAATGGGTTCTAATTGTCAGAGCTCCCAAATCTTTCACCTTTAGCATAAAGGTTTAAAGATATCACTAATGATGCAAAGTCACTAATGATGTTTTAAACCACCCCTTTAACGTTCCAGAAGGGTTCCATTTTCATACTTTTTATGCTTTATACACTCTGCCTCTAATATAGTATTAAAACGTACCACTTCTTTGGGGGCCCTAATGCAGAGACACACAAGGCCTGATGGAGGTTCAACCCCACTTCTAGGTGGGAGGCCTGGATGCTTCACACGCCAACTTCTAACCTTTTTTCAAGAACAATCATAACACTTTGAACAGTGAGAAACAAAACAGTGGCAAAGCAATACTGAAAGCATTTTAAATTATTTACTAGTTTAAAAGGGTGAAATGATACTTTAAATACATCAAATTTCATCATCTAGGCCATTTTTTGGTGGCAAAGTGGTATTGATCTTTCCAAATGCTTAAAATTAACTATTTTCCAGAAGGTCATTATTTGATTAAAGGCATTAAAGTTGAGGGCAAGAAGTGATGCACTTTTTCTTCTTCCCCATTCAAATCATCATATAATTTAATAAAAACCATCCCATCATGTCCTGTAATAAAAACACTTATCTTAAGATATTGTTCTTTACCTAACATATTAACCTTTAAATGTTATGAAGTTCTTTAGAAGAAAAACCTTTGCTAAAGCAGATTATTCTATAACATAATGAGAGGCCTCCACCATTAACATTAATAAAGATACATGTTCTCTATGGAATTAGTAGGAAATATATTAATCTTTCTCCCCAGTTTAATAACATCTACCTTGTGTATAGTGAAGAGAATCTCAGCAGGCTCTGTGAGTAACTTTTCCTGCTAAGTTAACATTGCTCTTACTAAAGAAAACATGAGAAATAAATTTGAACAGAGACATACCAGTAAATGCATTTTCCATTCTAAAAGTAGCACATTACATCCACTTTATTCAAAGATGGGTTTTAAAAAGAAACATATTTAAATGGAAGATGTGTGTGTGTATCTCCAAATATATTTATTTTCAAAGTGTGGTTTCTGATATTTGTATTTGCTGAAAAGAAAAAAAATCATGATATTCTTTTAAATTATTACTATTTTTAACTTCTAAACTGTTACTGTTTTAAACTCTCTCCCGACTCTACAGTTTATTTAAGGGACTCAATATCTTAGCCAAAAATCTGTGGGTTTCCATATTGTGGTAATAATAGGACATAAAATGGCTATCCATAAATTTCTCACTTGGGTCAAGTTTCACCACTTTGCCTTTAAGAAGTTAAACACATCTAGCAGAGTTTCTGGAGGTTTGTTATTAGCAAAAAGAAATGTTTATACAATCTAGGGGAAAGCTCCCATTAAAATTTAGTAAATTTTGGAGGAATATTCAGAATAATTAGTAAATAATCTTTATTTTTCAATTTTGCTTAAAATTTAATCACGCAAAAAAATGAAAATCATTTGTTTTCTATGGTTTTTATGTTCTTTTCTACCTTCTCAAAGCCACTGACTTTAGGGCATACGGAAATATGGTGTTTTTTCTCTTGCTACAGATTGTTTGGTCCATAATAAGATTATCACACGGCAATCTGGCCAGAGTAGATAAAAATGGTTCTCACTTAAAAAGGTTGTCAGGCAAGTTTTACAGAATATTTTCAGGAGGGAGAATCTGAGAAGGGCAAAAAGGAGGAATGAAGATAAAACTATGAAATTCTAGACAACATATTAAACTAGCTAGCAAAAATTTAATGTCTTGATTTGATTGAAATAGAGAATTCTCAAAAAAAAGCCTTAATTTTATTTTTAAAACATTAGATCTGGAAGATATCTAATTTAAAAGTTTAATTTTTTCATATACTTCAGAACCTGCTTTCAGGATAGTTTCTTCAAAGCTTAAACGAAACAATAAAAATCTGGCTTATATGTCTGATACTTGAATATGGTCTCTGAAGAAGAATTTTATTTTTTTTTCTTAAATCTAAGATGTATTTTTGACATTACATAAATTTCAGTGACATGATTTGGCTCCTGTTTAACATTTATACACTCTGTCTTAAAATCTCACTTAAGTTTTTATTCTCTCCTCATTCTTCATAGCTAGTGTTATTAAAAAACAGAAAACTCAATATTCCCAAGGTTCATGCTATAATACTTTCATCAATTTTAGCCTCTGCTTCTATCATAAAGAATCGTCTGCTCCTGTCCATTCTGCCTACCACTGACTTGTCAGCACTGGGGCACCTCTTCCTTGAATTATGCTCTTAGGCACCAACATTCTTTTTAATTACCTCCAAAGGACAATTATTCTGATTTCTGAACAAAAAAACTTTTAAGTAATTGTTCCTCTTTCTTTCTTAGGGGAAAAAGTACACCAATGATGATACGAGCTTTGAGGAAGAATGAGAGAACAAGTGTTATCACGTACAGTTGCAATTCCTACAAAAAGCAAATAAATTGGATGTCTAATTTAGCCTATGGAACTTCCTGATAGGGAAACATACAGGTTTAATTAAGCCTTCTTGAATCTCCTTATCGACCTTTGAGATGCCCTTAGAAAAGGGATGCCAGGATGAAAATCATTGCTCTGGTCTTCTGCTTTCCAACTACCCAAAGTCATCCTACTGCTCAAAATGACCTTGAAAGGCTTCCTAATACAGAGAAAAAGTTCACACTCCCTAGAGCTGCCCTGAAGGTTCCTCCCAAGCACACTCGTGTCCTAATTCACTGGACTATTCATTAGCTGTTGCCCAACACTTCCCCACATCCTGTTCTCCATTCCTCATATTGTTCTAACAGGAGAGCCTTTTCTCCTTTTTTTCTGTCCACCCAAATACTAATTCTCTTTCATGGCATTCTCAAGCACTTCAGTATACCAATAAAAAGTTATATCCTGTATAGGCATTTATATATGTGAACTTCAGCAAATTACCCTTCTGGGCCTCAGATCCTCTTCTACAAAGTGCAGATAACAATGATATTAATCTTACAGGATTGTGGCTGATATATATGAAATAGAATACATTCAGCCCAGTGCCTGGTCCATGATAACTATAAAAGGGTCTGATGAACTTAACTGAAAGCACTTGCCTTAAATGGCTCACAGTATATTTGGGAAGACCTGGCATTGAAAAATAACTATAGTGGGGCTGGCCCCGTGGTGTAGTGGTTAAGTTGGGCACGTTCCACTTCAGCAGCCCTGGCACTCGGGTTCGGATCCCGGGTGTGGACTTACACCACTTGTCAGCCATGTTGAGGTGGCGACCCACATATAAAATAGAGGAAGACTGGTGCAGATGTTAGCTCAAGGCGAATCTTCCTCAGCAAAAAAAAAAAAAAAAAAAAAAAAAAAAAAAAAAACCTCTTAGTGCAAGGCAGTTATGTGATAAAGGTCAATGATGGGCAGCCATCAAGTGGGATCCAACTGGAGGGGAAGAAGAGATGGGTTGGGGCATCAAGGAAGTCTTTACTGACAAAGAATGAGATGAAGAATGGTATTGGCTTGGCTTTGAAGAATGGACAATATTTAAAGTGGGGAGAATAATGAAAAAAAGTGAGATGAATTAGCAATATGCTAGGAAAAATAGGTAGACTAATTGCTTTCAAATTGAATATAGCCTCTTTCGTTCGATATAGCTCTTTACCATACTTTCTTGAGAATACAATTTAATTACTGTGACCTCATCTCCTCCTCTATATACTGTTCTTCTAAGATCTACTTGTTAGGGCAGGCCGGGTTTTAATTTGAATTCCTATTCTACTACTTACTAGCTCTGTAACCCTGGTCAAGTTACTCAAGTTCTCTAGACCTCACTCTTCTCCTCTATAAAATGGGGGTAATTTTACCACTATTCATAGAGTTGTGAGAATTAAGTGAGATAATTCATGCAAGGGGCTTGGCACACAGTAACAGTATGAAGAATGTCAGCTATTATTATTTTTATTATTGTTGTCATTATCATAAAGATAATTCAAAGTAATTTGAATATCTAGGAGTTAATAAAAATAATTCAGTTACCATATCCCAACCTGAACCCAGTATCTTTCCTCTCACAAACTAGGTTCTCCTCCTCTGTAGTTCAACTCAATTAACAGCACCATCCCCCACCCAGTCACCTGGGCTGAAAGGCTGTTATTTGAAGTATAAACTGGTAGAATTTTTCTGAAGGGCAATGTGGAAATGTTGAATATAGAAATGACTAGCAATCGCCTTTAAAACACAAATGCCTTTTTTGATCCAAGAATTCTACTTCTGAGAATTTATCCTAAGAAAATGATAATTAAAGATGTATGTAAATATTTAACTATAATAATGTTCACATTAGCATTATTTGTGATAGCAAAAATTGAATATAACTTAAATATATCTCAATAGGGAATTAAAAGGTATGTACAGCATACAAATGAATGTAAGACATATATATGCATATACACACGTATGCACGTATCTCTAGTTAATTGGGATTATGGGTGTTTTTCATGTTCTTCCTTATGCTTGCATTTTTTGACTTTTCTATAGTGGCTATGTATTGCTTTTTCTTTTTTATTAAAAAAACATAGCAAATAGCTTCAATTAAAAATCTTCTTTTTCTTGTCTGTTTCCTTCCGAAACGAACAATCATGAACTCCTGTCAATTCTACCCCTTCAGAACATCTCTTAAATTTGTTCCTTCCTTTTCATTCCTACTCCTCTGGTTCAGGCCCTCAGCATTTCTTCCATGAATAAATGCTGATGGGTTTCTTTATTCCAGACCACCCTCATCTCTGCTATCTGAATTACATTTATCATAAACAAAAGTCATCACAAATCGCCCTTTGAGTGGTACTTTCCTTCACTAGAGGGGCCTGGAGACACCCTGAGGCTCACACTTCAATGAATGAGTGTAAAAATGTAGCTCGATTCCCTGTAACACACTGAAGTGCTAGTAAGTTGGGGGGATAAAGAAAGATATAAAAATGGCACAATATGGGCAATTTAGTTAGTGGCAAGGAACTGTATACACTTCTGTAATTCCTGAGGGCATCCTGTATTGTAGTCAAGTCCAACAACTTATATTCATCATGATGCTGTTGCATTTCAAAGAAATAAGATTCAAATTGAGCTCAGCTGGCTAAGTTTAAGGAGGCAGGAAAGCACTATTAAAGGCTTCTGTCGAAGAACATACGTTAGATAGTTTAAAGAAGAAGCTTAACGGGAAACTTAACTTTTTCCAAACCCCTCAACCCAAATAAATATGTGCTCTCATACTGTAATGCTATAAAAAAAATTTTATCATGTTTTGTCCTAAAGTCACTATTAAAATTTTACAATATTTATTTTCCTATTCAAAATTATGAAGATCACTAAGAAAAAATGCTGTTGAATATCCATATATGCCATGTACAAAAAAAACTATAAAAATACGAACTTACAAAATGACTAATTCTTAGGTGACAATTTACCTAACATAGCGGTTGGTTTGCTTATGAAAATAATTTACTACTAGGTTATTTTAAACAAATATTTCTGCCATTGCATTTTTAATTGATTTATATAAAACTTTTCAATGATGCAGATATCTCCTAAAATGAGTTATACTCCCCATTATGCATATTTAGGGGCTGGGAATTAAAAATTTAAAACTTCCCTCTATGATATTCTAGGAGAGAGAACAAAGAATTTTTAAAACCAGGGGAAGGCAATTTGGGATTGTAAAAGTTATGGGACTCATATCCTAAGAGGAACAATCAAGTGGGCAGGGTCATTACAAGCTCCCAAGTTGTTTATGATTTTGCTGATAAAGTAACACCCATTTTGTGGCCAAAACCACATCATTTTATCCATTATGCAAACCTACTAATCAGAAGTTGGCTGAATGGAGGGACACAAATATTGTGATTCACAAGGAGGCATTAAAAAAAAGCATAAATATTTCTAGAAGCATCGTGTGGCTCCCAGTGACAATGGCCGGGTTATAATTTTACTGGTAAAAGGAGACAAGGGAGGTTGGGGCTCTCTGCACAGGCCATCTCAGTTATTCGTCTCAACCACTGATCTCCTTTTATCCCTGGGGAAAGCCAGCTCAGAAAGGGCTCAGGGGGAGACGGACAGGAGCGGAGTCTGACTCTACTCTGTCTTTTGGAGCACAGGGCCCCCACTCCTCCCACCCCGACTCCCTTAGGGAGAGGCTGGCTTTTGTGAGGAGCAAAACTGTGAGCAAATGAAATTTGCTTCTGAATCATTCCATCCTTTCACAAATAATTACTAAGCACCATCTACATGCCACCTACCGGGCGGCTAAGAGGAGATGTGGGGACAGATACGATGAGGAACCATTTCTCTCAGCACTTACTGTCCAGTGAGGTAACAACAGCTTAAACTTCAGGTTAAGTTGATATTAAAGATGTAGTTCAACTACAAAAAATTCAATGACAAAACAGCAAAAAAAATTCTAGTCTAAGGGAAGGCACTCTCACGAAGTCCTGCACTCTATGTGGGCATCAGAATGTTGGAGACAAGGCTTCCCGGAGGCTTTTGCTGTTGCTTTAAATGTTATTGCAATGATCATAACCCCTGCTTACATGCTCTGAGAGTGAAGGGGACTTGAAAAATAAGCATACTACAAAGTAATAAACAAATAACAAACAAATGTTTCCCAGGTAAATTCAAGAATTCTTCAGCTAATGTGTTAAAAATATATATAATTTTTTCCCTACAATTTATCTAATCATTGATCTCATCTCTTTTGGGCCATGGACGCTTCTGGTGAAGCCCATGGATTATGTCTTTTCAGAACAACGTTCTTATGTGCCTGAAATAAAATACATAAGATTACAAAAAAAAACAATTATACTGAAATACAGTTATCAAAAATTTGTGATATAGTAGTATATGTGCTTCTTTATTAACACACTAAATAACAAGATCTAGCAACAGATCTAATAACTACTGTAATTTTATAGTGATGAGCAAAAATAATATTTTGACATATCTACTATAACAATGTGATATAAAAACGTTTGTGATTTTTATTGGTGACAAATTCATAGGTATTGCTAATACTGTGATTTGTTGTCAATACTAATAATTGAATAAAATGTCAAATTTCAGTAAGATGTTAGTGAAAATAAAGATTTTTTGTTTTCTTTCCAAGTTCATGGACCCTTTGGGGAAAGGTGGGCCATAGGTTAAGAACTGAATAGGGTGCCTCCCCCCATGTATGTGTGTGTATACATACATATGTACACCAAATATATATATCTCTCTCAAACATTTTCCCAGAACTGTCTTATATAAGATCCTAGTAGATTAGAAAACTTTCGTAGTTATGGATTCATGAAACAGATTTCCTTATCATGTTATTTTTGCCACTAAAAGGCCATGCCTCTTAGAGATGGGCTGGAGGAAAACCATTAATCACTAGTACAATGGTTCCCAGACTGTGTCCTGAGGAGTCCAGGTCTCCATCGGGGTCTTTCAGCAGTGCCTTGGCTGTGTATGCGTAGGGTGGGGTGTTGATGAGAAGCTTCCCCTACCAATCCTGAAGTCAATCAAAATGGGGAAAGACTTTTATCTGATTTATGTATTTCAGTGCTGGATGAGATTTCATTCATAAAACAATAGTTTCACAGCTCAAAATTTTTTGCTTGCTTGACACTAGCACATATATACTTCACTTTTTTCCTGGTCCTGTTACAAGCTCAGAAAATGGGTTTACAACCTCTGAATAAAGCATCCATATTTTACTTTAGTTAACTTCATACCATCCAAGTAACTATAAAGCTAAACAAGATTAGCAGAGTATCCTTTGAGAAATGTCTATTTGCCGGGAGAGGAACACTAACAAGCTTTTCCAAAGACACCTGGGTTTCCCAAATACAAGGAGCTAAGGTAACAGGGCAGAGAGAGACGGAAGCAGGGAGAGGAATGCAACAGTGGAATGGGCATGCTATGTGTGTGTGTGTGAGGCAGGGGGTGGGGGTATGTGGTGGGGGGAGTGTGGGGGGGGTGGTCGAGGAGAGTGGTGCAAATACCAGGAAACCAGCAGTAATCAAATAATGGTCCTTGCTCTCATCACCACTTTTCAAAGAGCAGATGGTTATGAAGTTATGTGCCTGTAAGACTTGAGGACAGGGCAGAAGGAAGTTGGTCAAATAGAAGATTAAAGAAAGTGAGTAGGAAAGATGGTAAAGGGAAGTGGGGGGATAGGTAGAAAATAACTGAGCACACAACCATCTCATCACTTTATATTATATGTAGCTCAATGATAAACTTATCCAGAAATACAAACATAACTTTCTGTCTAGAAATTAAGCTTGATGGATAAGGCTTTAGTCCTTATGGTTATCCAGGGTCCAAGTTATTGAGTCTCTTTAATCAAAATAGTAAAATAAAATCATTATCCATTAGGCTATTACCCTTCCCCCAATCTCCAAACACACAAGCAAAAATTAATTGCAAGCCAGGAAGAAAGGCGGCAATTTAGACAGTAACAGCTTGGCATGGACTGAGCTGGGTTTCCTAATAACATTTGTCTGTTTGTGAATGTATGTTTTATTTACAGCCTTCACTTCCTGGACCTTATTGAAAGTAATTTATTTTTACCTAATCTGCATTTCATTTAAACCACCAAATACTCCATCAATGAACCGACTAAGTAGCACCTACGACAAGCAGCACTCGTGTTGGTACCATAAGTAAAATGGGTAAACATTCAAAGGAGACATTTGGGGATGGGCACTCCTCAGCAGCTATTAAACGCTAGATACCAATTTACGAATTTGCAGATATGGCCTTCAAGATATTCCCTCAAATCAGCTGACATTCCCTGCCTCCTTTTCCTTGTTGACTCTGTATTTCATTAACCTCTTCCAGACCCGCAATTTCTCAGGGACAGAGTATATTTTTTCCTCTTTAATATGCTATCCTTCCCAGAAGAACTTATATGAATTCAAAAAAAAAAAAAAATGAGAAGTTAAAGGTAGACTTTCAGGCATAGTTAAAAAACCAAAAAAGACATGTTTAAGGAAGAAACTCTTTAGCAACCTTCATGTCACACCATGTGGCAACCACTACGCCACCACATATTAAGCCCATTTCCTAACTGAACTGAGCTCATCTCACCTCTCTACTGTACTGACTCTGGCAGGTCCCTGAACATGAGAGGGAGATCTTCCAGTTTTTCACTAACAGGTCTCAGATGAGATTATATCAATCTTGAGCTCATCTCACACTCTATAACGTGGAATTCATGCACTGGATTCCAAGCAATCAATTCTCCTCACCCTATACCACTCACAAATAATCCTTTTTGGCTACAGACCCCA